ATAACTTTTTGTGATGATTTTACCACGATAGTTTTTCACGGTACGTTATAAATCATATATACTGTTTTAATTCATTTTTAAACAAGCAAATTAAAATCTGAAAATTTTCCGTAAATACAACTTCGATAGCAAACGAATGTTTTAAAACCTTACACGAGATGGCGTAACCTAAGTATGAACGTTTAACCTTTACATCAGTAGAAAATTATTGAGCTCTAATTTTTCCTCTTATTAACTTTACTCATAATTAAGTTTTCTATAAGTCATGAACGAAAACAAAGCTGACTGGCGAAGCGTAAAAGCATTACCAAAGTCTGTCCAATAAATCAGTGATTGTTTGTTTGCAGTTAAGTACAAAGCTACACAAAAGACTATTTATCAATCAATGAACGAGAAATGAAACCAAGTTAGTTAATTAAAGTGTCTACCCAACCCACAGATAACTGAGAGCTCAGATTTTGATGAGTCTCAGTTTTACAAGTATTAACATCACGGGACGGTGTGTAGCCGTTGAAATATATACAGTATATAAATTTTATATTACGTTACATCATGAATAACTAACAAATTTTTCAATAATTCTGGTACACAATTTATTACAAATTTAAATATCGAAACGTACAAAGTCTCTAAAGTGACCAGTACCCATAGATTTAAATTCTATAAGGTTTGGTTTGTTTGGATATTCGTGCAAAGCTTCACGAGGGCTATCTGCGCTAGCTGTCCCTAATTTAGCAGTGATAGCCTAGAGAGAAGGAAGCTAATCATCACCACCCACCGCCAATTCTTGGGCTACTCTTTTACCAACGAATAGTGGGATTGACCGTCACGCTATAACGCCCCCACGGCTGAAAGGGCGAGCATGTTTGGTAGGACGGGGATTCGGAACCGCGACCCGCAGATTGTGAGTCGAGGCCATAACTATCAGGCTATGCCAGGCCAATTCTATAAGTAGTTTAATATTTTACAAATCCAAATCAAGTCCGCGACCGGCAGATTGTGAGTCGAGACCATAACTATCAGG